ATGGAAGCATTCTCAGATAGTATAGATTCAACGTTGTTCAAATCATGACCCCCGGGGGTAGGGCGGGGCCACAATGGCCAACCAAAGTTTTACATAGAAATATATAGGAAAATTCTTTAAAAAATTTCTTCTCAAGAATAGCAAAGCCATAATTCATCATATTTATATGGAAGTAGCCCCAGGTAGTGTAGATTCAAGTTTGTTTAAATCATGAGCCCCGAGGGTAGGGCCACAATGGCCGACCAAAGTTTTACATAGAAATATATAGGAAAATTCTTGAAAAATATTCTTCTCAAGAATAGTAAAGCCATGATTGGTCATGGGACTTCTTTTGGATTAAAACTTTTCAATAATAAACCAATTTTCTACTTTTTCCTAGCCACAGTGTTCAGGTGAGCGATGTGGCCCATGGGCCTCTTGTTAAATGTGCGATGATTACACATTTAAGTTTGGCATGGTTACATGTTACTTGTAACAAACTGCTATTTGAAAGATGTGGTTCTGAAATATTTACATTTCCAATGTCTTTGTCCAAGATAAAATTACCAATTGTAAATGTAATTTTTGGCGAGGTTCCAAAAAAAACCACGTGCAGGGCAGGACAAACACCTAGAGAGAAGCAGGCTTGGAGCCCGTGGATTGGCGGAATCATATAAGCATATAAATATAAGGAATAACTGTCTTATTTTTCAAATTCATGAAGATGATCAATGGATTGGCTTGTGTGATAATTTTATGCATAAACGCCTTCGGCGTTTATGCAAATTATCACACAAGCCAATCCATTGATCAGTTCATGAATTCGAAAAATAAGACAGTTATTCCTTAAATAAATGCGTGCTCTGTATGTGTTGTTTCCCCCCTGCATAACACAGTATGAATAGAGCATATTTCAGCCTGTGTGTAAACATGTTCTTCGCATTAACATCAATTCATTGTTTAGCCATTAAAGATCGAATTAAATTCATAATTCATATTGATAGCGATGTCACAAGAGGACATCGTGTCCAACACAGTAGATTTATTCTGTTGAGGTTTTTTTTTTTAAATCGTTCATAGGTTTGAAATAGTAGCAACATATTGTTTGTCATTAATCAGATACAAATGTAAATATAAGAATTCGGTAACTTTCTCAAAATATAAATAGTTTTTTTTTTCTCGTGATCAAATTGACTATAAATTGCTGCGACAAAGCCATATTTACATCCCAAATAAAAATTTAAGATGATACCTTATGTCTTTACGATATATGACATGGCAATATTTGTAGGAAAATTTTTATGATAAAATTTTGATAAGATGTTTATGGTATAATATTTCTTTCTGATTTCACTGTGATAACTCTTTCAAAGTTTACGTGAGTTGATTTCTTGATAATTCTACCGAAATTTACATTCTGCCAAGCAAAAATTCAGGAGCCAAGCTAAGTTGAATATACATGTGAATTTCGTTTGGATTTCTTTGTATCTGACGTCAATGGGCGGGATTGTTAAAATAAACATGAGAGGCATTGTGTAATTTAATTCTTTAAGACAACATATTTTTTTTTAATTTAAATTTACAATGTTTGTCTAGTTTGTAAGGTATGCCAGGTACATCTACAATTGTTAATGCAAATTATCCCACGTTTTAAAATATCGTCGATGCTCTGGCACACCCAAAAAGCTAGACAATAATTCATTAAACATAAGGTTTACATGTATGTATGGTTGTACATCTTTTATAGGGAAAAATACATTTTTAGATATTTTTTAATACGAAATATTGTTGGCGTTAATCTGTTCTGTCTATGGTTGTATACATTTTTGAAGGCATATAATGCATTTTTATTAAGTTGCGATCTTTTAACGTTAGGTTCATATATGGTTGTGTACAATTTTCGTAGGTAATAATGTATTTACAGAAAGCTGTTGATGTTTTTAAGCTATTATAATTTGTTTCTTAATTTATTTGTCAATCTAACAAATTGTAGCGGAAATAATACAATTTCAATAGGTTGTACTCATACATGTATTGTTAATGCATGCTTTTAAATACAAAAGTAAACATATACATGTAACATCGCTTAATTCTTAGAAAATCATAAAAATCGTTTGATGTTGTGAATTTAAAGTAATTTTTTTTGTCTTTGTATTGCACATAAGCATAAAAAAATAAAGAAAGAAAAGAACTTTTTAATTCTTTATGAATATATACCATTTTTATGGAAAACATGAGCTTAGTGTTTTTGGAAATTTCTTAAAAATATTAAGTAATACTTCAAAAACGATGAAAGCGTATTACACAAAATTTTACGACATATATGGACAGTAATTTTACTGTACGAGTTCTGATTCCTCCAAAAAGTTTCAATATTGGTTCTTATGGATCTCTGGATTCAGCATATTTGAATTGTTGACTTCTACAAATCTCCACTTTATACATGTATGAAGTCAACACAGGTGTTACTTTAGTGATATAAAAATTGAGAGAGAAGTTTCTTTGAAGAGTATAAGTTACGGGGGCATCATCATTTGCAGGAGCCTGAAATAAGTTAATAAATTGATATTTTTTATACCCATGCAGTCCGTCTGACTGGAGACATGATTGTGACAAGACCTGTTGCATAGATTTTTATTTGAAAAGAGATCGGTTCCCTTTATCTATAAAATGGCCCTTTAGATACACCAATTGATCATGATTGATGAACACTTGATGTTCCATTTGAAACATTGAAATAAAATAGACACTTCGTGCTTTTATTTCCTATGAAATTTTTTCTTCAAAAAGTCCACGATTTGGAGATTTTGCTTTATGAAATCGAAGTGTTCTTGAATTTTTAGGTGAACAGGTATATTTGAGTACTTTAAATACAGAAAAATAATATGATCGCATTCTGATCTTAAAAATGAAACATGTCTTTTAATCCTCAGAATCATGTCTATCATTTACTAGTTGCATACTAGTAATTAAAATCAGAGGTTGTGCTTTATTTTAAATATCGAAAAGAATAGCTTTAAAAAGCGTCATTTTTGATAGATAAGCAATCAACAAAGAGTTAATGCATCGGTAAGTAAAACCAGTTTCAGTTTTTCAGAAAATCACATGTTCAAAAAAGGCTATAAGTGAATCTTGTTCTTTGTACACGCGTTATACACAAAAAAGAAGACAGAAAAGTGAACCTGGTATTTTCATCATGATTGAACAATTTATGTTATTTCGTGTCAAGTTGATAAGAGATAGTAGACACACGACTAGAAACGGCTAGTTGGAATATATATACTTAAAAGAATGTAAACTGTTACTGAAAGCCATATCATTTTAAAAACATTTAAACAAGAAGTGTTTGTCAAACACTGATGACAACTTTAAATTAGGGAAAGGTTTGCAGGTTTCCAACTGTTACATGTATAACCAAGAAGAACATTTTTCAAAGTAAGTCAAACTCTAGGGTCAAGGTCAAAATGTCAAAGTTGTTTGTATCTAAAAGTAGTCTTAAACACAAGAAATACACGTGTGAAATATGATGGTCCTAATTATAAGTGTTCAAAAGTTTTTTGGTAAAAAAAAATTATCTCCGTATTATTGTTTTGTTACAATAAATATAAATTTGAAATACGAAGACTCTAGCAGCATACGTTCACAAATTTTCGCCAAGGTTAAATTTGTATAAACTCTTGAAAAATCGGGTCAAATTCTAAGGTCAATATACATTGATACACAAAGAAAGGCCATGTCAAGAGGAAATTAAATGAGTTCTTCATTTTTTGGCAGATCCATCTGGTATTTAGCAGGTGTTAGAAAAAATCCATGTGTAAAGTAAGGATTTTTTTTAAATACAAAAATCTACAAATAATGAAGCATTACTATTTATAGATTGTTCTTGTACCAGTGATAAAATTTATCGTAATTTGCTCAAAATAATTAAGAATAGATTTCAAATGACTTTTCTTTTTTGATGTAGCTAATTTTATTATTTCATGAAGATTACTAATTTTGCTATGCAGGTTAACACTCATACATTACCTTTAAACCTTGCGATGAATGTAAAATGAATTTCCATTGGGGGGTGCAGATTACGCAAGATCTTTTTTGGCCCCTGGTTTGGGGTGTCTTTTAGAATGATGCGACAGATTATAGATTGAAAACCACTTATCGCCCTGCCACAAATTTGGTATTTTTTGGTTATGGGATACACAGCGGTCTCAGGAGAGTCAGAAAACATGTCTTTTACCGTATTTTCTCATTTTTATGCGTAATTTATCACTTTTTAAAGAAAACATAGAGCACAAGCTTGCCTATCTACGAAATTTATATGTTTCATACACTAGTATCAAATGCATTTTGTGTGTTAGAATCTCAGGCAAGCTTGTGTTCTATGTTTTCCGAACTGAAAAGTATCTCAAATTTGACGAAAATCCATCAGAGTAGAGTCAGTAGAGAAAATTTAGGAAAAGGTCCGCTTTCTGCACCCTCCTGTTGCCTCTATGTACGCGTTGAATCAAAATTAGTGCTGGTTTTTAAAATATGCACTAATTTAAGTTCTCAACTACAAACTATCACAGTATTAACTGTGTTCTGATTTTTGCGTTGAATATAAGGGGCCAGGTTCAGTGGTTACCATATACCTTGTCCTAAAAAAAGAAAATGGAAATTAATTTTTCACTCATTAAAAGGTTTAAAGGTTTTGCATAAGTTATAATTTTAATAATGTTTTCCAAGATGTTATATATTGTCTTCACTTCGAATGACCTCTTTTCTTGTACTTGCAGTTGTATAAAAAGCTATATAATTTTAAATTGTTACTTTTTGCAAGATGCTTCTAAAATATTATCCTCAAAATAAATAGAACACACACATTACATTAAAATATATCTTGGGAGATATCCCTGCCTGTGTATACTATGTCCTTGAAATTTGGTCGTCGACTATTTGTATCCATTGCACAAGCGGAAAAAGGAAATCTAATATAAAACATTAAAAATGCAACTATGCCTCATTTAAATGATATAGGCATTTATAAGTCTAGTGTAAATATTGATAGCGACTGAAAAACTTCATGAATCTTTTGGTGTCTTTGTTAAAAAAAATTATCTTATTAAGCTTATCTAATTTTCTTTATTCATGTTCAAAAGGAATTCCAATATGTGTTGGGTAAGTTTTCATGTAACGAAACATATTTATTTCATTAATAAATCAGTATAAAACAGAGATTATTTTGTTAACAGGAACTACAAAAATTGCTGTGCATTTTACAAGTGGAGTAGCGAAACCGGTCAATGCGAAAGTAAGTTCAAAATTATTGTTGGAAATGCTTTTTTTGCACAATTTTAGTTTAGAAAGATCTTAAAGTAACATTTTACTAGCCCTAGAGATAATCTTTTAAATTTCTACATGTATTTAATTAGTTAAGCATGTATGTATAAAACCTCTATGTGTCCAATATCAGGAGTATACTTTTAGACATTATTTATTGGAAATGACATGCTGGTCATAACAATAAACATAATGTCTACGTGACAAGTCTGTGTGATTCACACACCAATAACTCCCACAAACTTTAAACCATTCCTTAAGTAATAAATTTAACTTACGAAAATACAGGACAATTACAGAAATAATTACCAAAGTACCTTTTGTCTGTTTGATGAACCATTTTTTGGTACGTTTTTCCCATTTTCCACATGGTTTAAAATTGATTTTATCATAATTATTTACAGAATGTTTACCCGGATACAGTGGAGTAAACTGTAGTGAACCTTGTCCTTATCCTTTTTATGGAGACGAGTGTCAAGGAAAATGTGATTGTGACAACTACATTTGTGATTTTTCCACTGGTTGTATAGTTGGTACCTCTGGTAATGCGATTCAAAAATTTGAATCTTAATTTGCTTCATTTTTCTCTATTAAGACTTGTGTCTGAATATCGTAATTGTCTTTAATTCATGTAATATGTTTTTATGAGTCACAGAATAATTTATATTAACCAAATGTCGAACAGTTTTATTTATATACTACATATTAAACGTTAGGGTTGAACGCATACTGATAATTTTCAGTATATAAGTTATCTCTTTAATTACTGGTCCCTGAAAATAAATCTTCAAAAAAAAAAAAAAACACCGATAATTAAATAATGTTTAATTTGTATATAATAGATAAAAAGGCCCTTATGCATGAACACTGCCCCTTTGTCAACAGACAATTGTCACTAAGTAATTGAATGAGCACACAATAATTTACAAGTTACATGAGAAAGATTTGTTAGATGTAACTTTAAAACCCAAATAACTTTAGAATAATAAAAAAAATATCAATTTAAAACAAAAATGAAATAAAACGGTTATTGTCCAAACTGTGTAAAACTGTAATATAATATACACTGTACTTCATAAGTAAAACATTAATATTTACAAGGTGATAACATCAGGCAAATGAAAGTTGCATTTTTAAATTTTTTAAAAATTTTATTAAGTACAATTTGTTTAGAATAATATTCACATCTAGTCATATGTTTTTGTAACACCGGCAGTTAAACTGCCATTCTGCTACAATGTGGAAGCAAGAGCATCATATATATTCAGAATTAATAAACAAGTAACGTGGATGCAAATTATTTCTCTGTAGCCAGTTAAAACATCCCTAGGTGTTTTTCCAGGGGCAAAACTTTCTAGAAACTTGGAAACGGAAACCCTTCTCCCTTTTTGACGTCATTTTCAAGGAAATATTTGTTTGGATACTCAATGTAAAATTTACAATAGCATTTCAGAGAACTTCCAGAATGAGGTAAAAAAAAAATCCATATTTTATGGAACAATAGTGTCCCTATACATACCTTAATTATCGGGATATTTGGATGTCAGTTTTTTATATAAAATAGTTTATCTTATTTACTTAGGTCGAAAAAAACGTCGTTTTCGAGGTTGCGCCGCCTGGACATACCATTATTACAAAAAAATTACTAATTTATTTAAAAATAAAATTTATGATTTATTCTATAGATAGAAAAGATGATGATTATTTAATACTTTAAAATTTATTGACGTACCTAAAGCGGTTTTAATTTTATGGCGTTTGTCCACGATTTTTTGATAGCTCCTCGTACATGTATCTTGCATCAAAGATATAAAATCTTTGACAATTAAATATTTAGCTCATACCTATTAAAATACGGTAATAGAAAATTTCTGAAGGTTTGTAAAAATTTTCATTTTTTGTGACCGGTCAATGAGGGATGCTTCCTCCTCCTAGGCACCTGAACGAATCTCTAGATTTTTATGGGCCTATACGTTTGAACATTTTTGAGATCGCCTAGCTGTCTGTTCTAACACTTTCGTATACACGTAAAAAGTGCACTGTATTAGGTTTGTTCTGTTTCATAGATTGCTATTAACTAACATATTTTTATTACAGATGATGGATCTATTTCATTTCTTAGCAAAGTAACAGAAGGAGGATTAACTGAAAATTTTACTGTTTTTGAAACAGAGAATTCTACAGATTTTCCAGGTAGAAATTCTTCCAGTGTAAATGATTCTCTCCTCGTTCTTATAGAGGCACTAGGTGGAGTTGATCTGTTATTTATATTTGCTCATTTTTTTCTGTACATTCATGACCGTAGAAATAGAACTGATATAAATAAAATCGACACAATTATCAATTATCACCGAACCAGCAACGTGTATGAGAATGTCGATATTGATATTCCATCAACATCGGATTTATAAAACCATTTTATCCATTGCTTTTAATTTTTTTTTTGAAATTGCTTTTGATTTCGTAGTAAAATAGCTTATAGAAAACGATGAAAAATCTTCGCTATATTTTTTTTAATTAAAGACATTACAATTGTAAATTAAGTACAAGAGATTCGGATCAAAATGATATATCTCTAGAATATATTATTATTTTGTTCTATATTGCTTTTTTTTTTACAAAATGTTTTCATGTGTTTATGCGTTGATTATTAAAAATCAGAAGAATGCGATACATATTTAATTTTTTCGTAAATTTCTTCTGAAAAATATACATTGTGGTTGGAAAATTGCTTAAACTTAAAATTGAAATCAATTAATAAAAAGAATTTTGAACATACAGTTATCCATAACTAAATTTAAACGGTGCTTATTTGAGAAAGAAGATGAAAGAAAATGGACCTGCACCTATGTTTTGAAATATTTATTCTAAGTCATCTCTTATCGCCTGGAAATATTTATTGATTATTGAAATGATCTCTTATATAGCAATACTAATATCTTATTATTGGTTTGATTGACTTAACAATTTAATAAAGCTTAGATGTTTTGTAACCCCATTTTTTAAAGGAAACCTTTTTGATAATGTCAACCAATCTTCCTGCAGAGCACAGGGAATTCATGTCCTTTTTAAATGAGGGACCAATCTTTCTTTTAAAAGGAAATAATTTTAGAATAAGTGACAGTAAAATGGATTCTTCGAATATTTTCAGTCTAAGGAACATTGTTCTGAAGATTAAAGAGGTACAATTTGTAGTGTAGATTGCATTTTTTCACTATGAACCCCAAACCAGGGGTAGGACAGAATAGACGATCAGTCTTATATAGGAAATTGAAAATCTCTGCAAATCAATCCACTATTTTGCTGAAGTAAAAGACATTTATTTTGTTTTCCTGATAACGTTATCTGACTTATACTTTTTCGTACAGTTCAACATATGATTATTTAAGAAAAATGACACACGTTTTACGTGACAAGACCCTTTGATATCATTCACACATTTTATTTACTTTTAAACTGTTTGCATTTTCCAATAGAGAGCGACAGTACAACATTTTAGTCATATATAACATGGACTACTAGAGGAAATGTAAGACACACATTGCTCTTCCCTTTAAACCTTGTTCGTTTGTGCAAAGTGAATGAACTTAAAAATTCAGCATCCTATATACTTGAATTGTACAGTTCCAAAGTTTTTATTATATTGTTTAAAATAAGGAAGCACTCAAACCTTTGCCATTTTCAAACTTGTTTCCTGTTTTTACGTACCATTATACATACAATATACAGTAAAATATGCTTTAACGAACGCGCTAATAATAAATTCACACTTGCAACGAAATGAATTACATTCCCTATGGGGCTTTAAAATATACTATGTTCTTGACGGATATAACGAATAGCGTTTAAAACGACGTCAAATCCGTAATAAGCGTGTTTTACTGTACACAGCTGTTAAAGCAGTATTCCCATGATTGAAACGACGTCAAATCCGTAATAAGCGTGTTTTACTGTACACAGCTGTTAAAGCAGTATTCCCATGATTGAAATAGATTCAACTGCATTAGAGTCATACTCCAAGGGACGAGGTAATGCTTCTAATGTAATGGCTCGTGCAATGACGAGCCGGAGGACTTTTCCTTTACAAAATCTACAACATATGTATCATGAAGTACACGTATCATGCGTATGGTGGGAACATATTATTTTATTATGGTACAGTGACTATAATCGTCACAAATTTAAATGAGATTCCATTTTGACTAAAATAAATGAAATAAAATAAAACATATATAGTAATAATAAATATTTATTTATTTATCTTTGAATACAATATATCGTCTTTATATATTTTATTGTTTCATTTCTTTTTTTTTTTAATTATATAAGTATTTTTTTTAAATTTACATTGAGAAGTTCGATTGTCTTAAAAGATTATCTGTTTTATATATTTGATAATCCAACGATCGACTGAATTTGAGTTTTTCTAGAAACAGTCCTTTTTGTGTTTTTGAATTAATTTAATTTAAACAATATTTTATTCACTGGTGTTATTGTGAATGTGATTGGGCAGCAGGCGCAGCCTATTTTAGCCCTCTCCCCTTTGAATTGATATGAATATCAAATTGAATTGAATGTTATTTAAAATTTTTATTTTCTTGGAAGTGCCCTTTTTTAACACAAATAGAAAAAAAAAATAGAATTTGTTCATACGTAGAGCATGCTCTTGCGTATCGAATCAACTGAGATTTATATATTCCGCATGAAGGTGATAAAGCAGACTGCTGCATTAGTAAGGGAAGTTGAATTAAATAAAAAACTGATTTGAGTTTTATTACAGACAGTTAGCCGGAGAGGAAGAATGACTTTGAATTTGATCTCCGCATACACTGCTTCCCTTGCACTTTGTTCATTTTTATGAAGTGGATTTATCAAAACGTTTGAAACATGTCTATACTATTCATCCAATATATTGTTAAAATTGTGTATTTGTACTAGTGGGTGTACCTTGAGCTTATTCCAAAGGTTTTTCTGACATACTTTTACAAATCAGGAAGCACTATACATGTTTATTTGAAACTTATTATTTCCTGTTTCTAGGTACGATCACATAAAGTATAATACACTTGTTGGAGGAATTATGTAGACGCTTAACATAAAAAAATGAAAATGAACTAGTGTACCTTCAGCATCTGCTTTTTTTCTATGGATGTTCTTCATACCTGCATTTTTCCTTCCATTCCCAATTCATCATTCATTAAAATAGATTGTATGTAAAATAGTTCGTTGCACTGCTTTTATCTCCATGAAATATGTTTAATGAAGAAAAATTTTGTCCACACTGTATCATATTCTTTCAAATACCTTCTTCGGTGTACCCAAATCCCTAAATACTGAGTACTTTTCATTTAACCCTGTATTATTGAAAGAATTGCTTCAGTGGTAATCAACACCTTTGTCTTTGTTCTAATATCGCTCTCAGGTAAATCATTAGCAATGTTTTAAGCACGGTATATGCCGAATACAGTTCTGTATTAAAAAACAAACCTTACGGGCCTCAAACTGTCTGATATTTATTAATACAGAACTGTAATCGGCATATACCAATACCTATATTCTTAGCAATATTCTACAGCAATTTTTTTTTATAGATAACACATTTCTGTCAGAAAATAGAAACAGACACTTTATGTGCAATACAAAATATCTAAAAATTTACAATTAAAAATATATTTACAAAACATGAAGGAATAGAATGAAAACGATTGAAAAGACAAGATATTTTATCTTACTAGTTTTGGATAAGTATCCATACTTATGTATGAGTAAGTATACTTAGAGATATATACACTCGAGTACATAAGTAGGTTCTTATCCTTTAAGACTTATTCAGGACATTTCAACTTAGCAAAAGCAGGCACTTATTTTTATTCAAATAGCATGGACTTACAAATCATGGTTATGTAACAAAATACACAAATAAAATACATGTAAACGAAAAGGTTTGACAGTATTCATATCGAAAAAGTACAGATTTCAAGTACAGATGACCAATTGTTACATGTATACTTAAATAAGTTTTGTTATACATAAAGTATGTCTCTATCATGTACATTTGTATGCTTTTTCACCTACAACTAAGAAGATATCTAAAAATCTGCATTGTTTTTTTTGTTTTTTTTTTTTTTTTACAAAATCTGATATTTGTTCGTAAGTCGTTTTTAGACAGTTCAAGTTTGTATATCGCACGACATTAGAGAGGTTTATATAATAACGTGTACCATATATGTGATATATTAAGCTTTGTTCATAGAAATCTTACATATTTTATATGCAAAACAATTTCCTATTAATAAAAAAAATACTCAATAATCCATTTTCAGACTAACTTTTTTTTTAAGTTACCGGGTAATGTTTGGTCTCTTTAATCTCTTTTGCTGTATTTTTTCGGTTGACTTTAAAGTCATTGATTTTTTAAATTCAGAAATTACAAAACAAACTTAATCTCGAAATATAGACGAAATTTATCAAATATCGAATACCCAGTAATACTTTCTATTCTGTATTTGTCCCGTATATGAAGACGTCTAAGATATGAACCCTATTCATTTTTACCTCATCTTGTTCATAAAGTTACACAACTTGTTCAAAAATCTTTTTTGTTGTTGAAAGTGTATAATGGGAATTTTGAAAAATGGTCGAACAATGTTTACACTATGAAGATGTGTATATGCCTACTTATTTGAAATAATTTTAGATAAGACACTTCTTGTTATTCTGAAATGAAATTGATCATGTGGAAACGATAAGTGGACTTATTGAGATAATCCAAATACCAACTCAAACAAAGCAAAATAGAAATTCTCTTGATGATAAACTCCAAAAAGACTTTTATATAACTCGTAGGATAGAAGACTTTTTTCATCATTTTTTAAAACTTCATACTTGTAATGTATAGTATACGTATATAATTGAATACTTTTTTCGATTATACCACATTAAAAGTATTGAAAAACCATCATTTGATTGTTTCCTGGACATATTTTCTGTAGATGAATTTGGTTTATGTGTCTTTCTGGATAATTTACAATCAATGCTATATTTCCTAGAAATATTGCTATTTATAATGAAGTAATCAAGTTCTCCCCGGATGGTTTTTAAAAACTTAAATATTGTGAATAAAATATATAATATATTTTACAGATTTTTTGCGTAGTAATACTTAACAAACAAGTTGATGAAACAAGAATAGCAGAAGTATCTTTAAAGTCATCATTTCTTCTGTTTTATGGTCGGTACGATTACCCTGTCAGCAAATGTAATTTAAGATTGAGTCAAATGTATACTGACGTTTTTATACTAATTTTACAAGTTATTTCCAAATCATGACAAGAAGCACAAAGCGAGTGTATGTTCACTCCTTTAAAGCACCTGATCTCTTTTTTTATGTTTTATTAGTCCGTTTTTGTTCTGCTCCTATTTTGTATTGTTTAATGGCATTTTGGGCTTGCATACTGTTTGTTATATCCATTTTTTACATTAAATACATTATATGCAAAGCATATGAGTTCCCTTTTTTTAAGCCAGGTTAATGGTTGTAATATAATTCCCCTTTTCTAATAAGGTTTTATTTTTCTTTGAATCCATTATGCTTCGTGTTTTCCATCGTCCGTGCTGCAGATTAAACTGGTGTCTCTCTGGGTGGCAAATATTGAAATTCTACAATTATAGTGTCCTGTCAAAGAATTGGAGATAAAAGCAATTTCTTTGTTTCATTAATTGAAGTGATAAATTAAGTGATTTTAATGTATAATATTTTAAAACTCTGCAAAAGAAAGCATGACTTCCATAAAAAAAATATCAATCTGCATTTTGAAATATATACCAGTCGCTCAGTTGATCCTCTATCATATCTACCAAAATCTTGAGGAGAAGGGTGAAAAATGTTAACTAAATTTTAGTATGATAATTTTACTTTTAGATCTACTGAAATAGAAACCTTTAACGCATGAGAATTACATTCCGGAAGCGTGAAGCTCAAAGCACTGACATTGAAGGTTAAGATCATTTTCAAATTTTCCCTTTTTTTCTCTTGAATATTCATTGTACGCCTGTATGCATAGTTGGACTCCTGTATGACAATGAATGTGCTGAAATTCCAAGATTTTACTGATAAGGTTTGATTACGTATTTAAAGCTTAAATCATCTTTATAAGAGAAGAATAGGGAATTTTTGAGTAATTATTAAAATAAGTTGACGCTTTATAACATTGTTTAAGCACATTTTCTACCGGAATCAGACAGAATAGCATGATTAAAATGGCTCTTTTGGCCTCTTAAAGCCGCTTGGTCCGATTCTAATCGCTAAAAATATATATCCGTTTTTCTTCTTGAAAATTGATTGTCCATAAATTGTTTAAACTTTTGTCAAATTATATCCCCAAAGTCTTTTTCTTTTAAAAGATATAAAAATTCAAATGTTAAAAAAATAATTTTTGTTAGGTTACACAAAAAATAATCCTATTCTTATATCGCGTGAAATCACCTTCGAAAAATTAAATTTATCGCTTACATGTATATCTCATGAAGAACAAACCCGAGAATTTTTTCACAACAAAGCACATATTTACTATTTTAGCTCCTTAAAAAATCCTTTAAAATATCTGATTTCCCTTTATTTTTAAAATAATTATGCATATAAATATGAATATTGCTATGGATTATATTCAATTAATTTCTAAATTTTTATTAAAAGATGTATTATGACTAAGACTTTTACTAATGCAAAAAACTGCTCGGGTTGAATTATCTTCATTATTAGATATAACCAATAAATTTATTTTTTCAAAATTGACTTCACAACAGATCTTAACCTCCGTCAGGAACTAATTTTTGTCAATAAGGTTTTTGATCTGCGTTTTCCCTGTAAAGATTGTTATAATAAAC